GATGGAAGTTATCATTCATTATTGGAATGTGGCCGTCCATTAGGAATGCGATTCAACCGGAAAAATCCGGATTTATTACTTATTGCTGATGCTTATTATGGATTATTTGAAGCAAACATTCAAAATGGTATGAAATTCTTTCGAAAAAAAAAAAAAAAAAACATTAGCAAATAATAATCGTCCATTGTCAAGACGAATATCTCAATGCTTCCAGTTATTTCACTTAACGACAAAGTTTTCCGGATTATTTGATAATAATAGATTTTAAGTTCCGGCAACAAACATTAACAATTAAACATTTACAATACTTCTGATAAGCAATACATGAATGATGTTAGTCAAAAATTTTCAAACTTCATTCTTTTCCGGAAAACTTTTGGTTTTTGATAATTTCAAGTTATTCACTTATTCTTTTCTTCCAGGGATTTTTCAAGTCAGTAAAAGTTTAAACGTGTTTTTTTTTTTGCAAATTATTCAGATTTTGTTTTTTAGTGCTGCAAATAATAATTAAACTTTCATTCAAACAAGAATAAATTTAAAATTACTAATTTACAAATGTATGTATGTATATATATATATATATATGTATAGAATTTAGAGACGATAAAACAAATTCTAAAGCCTGGAACTAAAATATCAGATGGTTTATCTTGGCCAGTTGTTCATTTTAATGATTTTGATATTAGCCAAGATGGACGTCATGTTGTTTTTACTGAACCATCTCACCGTTTTGCTGATCGTGATTTTTTGTATGCAATGATTGAACATAAAGCAGATGGGAGGTAAATTTGCTATTCCGGTTCATATTCAAACTTAATTAATTTATTGTTGAATTTAAATTATTCATTCGAATATTGATAATAGCGATTTTCATAATTTTATATCATCCAATTTGATTTAAATTCAAGATTTTTTCTGTTATTTTGATTGAGGTTTAAAAAAAAAATCAAATTATTTACATATCTTTTATTAAATTTCTTGTAAAATTATAAATTCCTTCTCTCAAATAAATTAGAATTGTTAATTGAAATTGATATGCAAATTTTAATTTCAATGATATTTCCATTTAGATTATTGCATTACAATATGCATACAGGTGTACTTCATGTACTGATTGATGGTTTACATTATCCAAATGGTGTAGAATTTGATAAGACTGGAAAATGTGTATTTTTCTCCGAGATGGGCAATCTACGAATACTTAAGTCAATTGAAATTAATTTTAAATTTCATTTTAAAATTTTTTATGAAATATCCATGAATGAATCATCAAAAATGCTTAAATGATGATTCATTCATGGATATTCATAATATTTCAATACTTCTTGACACTTACAAGTTTTTAATTTTTTTGGTACTATTCAAATTATTAAATCGTATTTTTTTTAAATTGCTTAATTGACTGCTTGCCTTTTTTTTTTTTTTGCTTTTTTCATTTTATAATTATTGAATGGCCAACTTTGTCCAATTAATTTTCCATGCCTAAATATGACAAAATTGATTTGCAGGTATTGCTTTAATTATAAATCTAAGAAATATACGATTGTAGCAAGTAATTTACCTGGATATCCAGATAATATTCGAACAGCTAATAATGGTATGTTATGGGTACCACTTGGCCAAGCTCGTTTAAACGATGATTCTTGGATTACTGAAAGACCATTTATAAGAGATATCATCGCAATGGTATTCTTACTTTATTCATTCCATTTTTTAACAATTTCAAAAATTTAATTTTCTCTTTTATTAATAAATCAAAAATCTAAAAAGGTTTCAAAAACATTTAATTATGTATTTTATAGAAAATTATCACTAGTTTTTTTTTTCATTTTTTCTTATCAATCGATAATTTTGAAATTCTTGTTGACATTAAGCATTTTTTTTTTTTTGTATTGAATGGATTTTCGAAAAAAATTTTCTGCAAAGAAAAATAGCACCAAATGGATACTGTATGTGGATAATACTCATCAGAAAAATACCATACTAATATTTTACATGGATACTTGATGCAAAAAAAAAAAAGATCTAATTAAAAATCATCATAATATCATCGATATTCAATGTATATAATATTATAGGTAGTAAAAAGTAATGTATTGATGGCAATTCTTGATTATTTCTTTCCCAAATATGGTTTATTACTGCTAATTGATCCAATTAATGGTACTATCATTCGAAGTTTTCATGATCCAAGTGGTTTAACTATCGGTTCAATTTCACAAGTAATAATTTTTTTTTCTCATTAACTGATTACTTTTGATCATTTATTAGGATAGTATTATGATTTTTTACATTTGAATATCTTTGCATATTATGCAAATTTTCAATTCCATTTCGAATATTTTCCATTCTGTTCCAAAAAATTTCCATTTCGAATAT